CCACTAAGATAAGCGAGGATGCTGATCCACTTCAGTGGTGGAAGAAACACAAAGACAATTTCCCCAGGCTCAGCAAGCTAGCCAAGAAATACCTCTCAATCCTTGTTGCGAGTGCCCCGTCACAGAGGCACTTTAGTGTTGGAGGGAACATTGTAACATGCCACAGGGCGTCTCTCAAGCCAGATGTTGTAGACAGGCTTGTGTTCCTTGCAAAAATCTTGCAATTGCAAATGTGACTAACAAATGTAATGAGTGACTGAAACAATCTGACTGACTGGCTGGCTGGCTGGCTGGCTGATTGAAACAATCTGACTGACTGGCTGGCTGGCTGGCTGGCTGAAACAATCTGACTGACTGGATGGCTGGCTGGCTGACTGACTGACTGACTGACTGACTGACTGGCTGGCAAACAATGTAAGACTGGCATTACAGAAGCACCTCTACCTTTCTCTTTATGATAAATCAAATGAGTCTCGTGATTTTATCATTTAGCATGCAAATAACATTTCTTTTTTGAACAAGTGCTTTTTCCCCCCATTAGGCATATAGCATGCAAATAGCAATTAATGTTTGTGTTTTTTGCCTCAGGGATATAGGACATTTTTAAAGCTTCATTTTACAAAATGTTAAAGTTTTGCACTTTGAATATTCATCTTTATTTAAGAGGACAGGAAAACCTTTTATTTTTTTAAGAGAAGTTTAGTCACTTTATCCCAAGGGGGAATCATTCATGTTTAGGCTACTCAATCATTTTTGAAATAAAAACAAAATATTTGAAATAATTTATTCTCATCTCATTTGTATGTAGCCCTGGGGGGTATAGAGTTCATAAATAAACAAATAGTTAATAAATAAGTAATTCATCTTAATTCATAGTAATTCATAAATATATATCTAAAATTGTTAAAATGTTAAAAGCATTAAAAGTGATGTTTGGGCAGTTTCTACATTGGCCATGTAGCCCTACTTGTTGTAATATTTCATGATAAGAAATATAGGTATTGAAGGTAAAATCTGAGTAAATAATTTGGAAGGTAACCAATTGGGATGGAAGAATACAAAAAAAAAAAAAAAAATCAAAAATCGAGTTTTCAGAGAGAAAAATCGGGATTTTATTTTTAGCTAAAATCGTGCAGCCCTAACCGCAATACAGTTGAATAGCCCAAACAACGTCTGGAACGTGCGTGGTGACCCATTTCACCGCTGCACACCACAGGCGTGCTAGAGCCGGCAAGAGTGAGAGCATAAAGAAAGGTTTAGAGGCGAGAATGGCTGCCGGAGAGAGTCCTGAAAGCGATGCAGCTGTACACGTTGCTGAAGAAGAACACGATGACCCAGGAGAACTCATACCAGAAAGAGCAGTGTTTCCCCTATATGCACCACCAGTGCTAATTGCATATAGGGTAAAATATGACTGTCGCTGCTGATTTATTTATTTTTTTTGCTCTTAGCTCTTTAGAAACTACCATTATATTTGGCGCTACGGACGCTTCATATCCAGGCCTATAGAACAGGTCTACTTGAATAGGCCATAGCACAACACAGCAGCATGTCAAGTGGGTCGAACCCCAGCAAAACACCGTCAAATACCATGAAATCGATGTGATTTTTTTTAAAAAACCTGATATGAAAATTTTGTCATACCGCCCAGCCCTAGCTACCATGATATAACCCATTAGATTGTGGACTGCCAGTTTTAAGTCTTGAGTTTGGCATTTTGGATGTCATCATCTTGGATTTTTGCAGCCAGAGGTGATCTTATTTGGACAAGAGGATGGAGCTGTGGAGGAGTGAAGGGTGGATCTGATTCACAGACTCTAGGGACACCTTGCAGGCAGCCTATCACTCACAGCTGCCCTTAACTATACATAATGTTAAGCCTGAATAAAGCTAGGCATTCTAACATGGGTCTGTGGAGATTGACTGGCTTCTGGAGCCAACCTCAAGTGGTCTTTGTTTCTTCCTTTTCAGTAATAAAAAACGGGATGTCAAAGAGGGGTTTTACTTGGACTTGGAAAAGTATTTCTTAATTACTCAAACAATCCTTGTATGTGAAAACCTATTAAACTTAAGTTAAACTTGCACAGACCAGAATCATTTTATTATCATAAACAGCCTGGGGCTGAAATCCACATTAGATCTCACAGCTAGGATATAGTGGCTGGCTTAATAATATGGAAAATATTATTTTAGTTGTTTAACTTGTTTCATTGGATCCAGTCATTTTCGGACTGGGCAGGAGTAGTAAGTAAATAGTCCTATAATTAACTGACTGCGGTAAACACTGAGGGTCTGATTATCTGTTCATGATTGGTTTGATGAGGGACACATTTACCTTCCCATCATACTCAACAATTCCATAAAGAGACATGGTCTTTGCACATTAGAATGGTTTTTACTCAAAAGATAAATGCTCAAACTGCATGTCTGATTGGTCTGAACCCTTCCAAGATAGATGTACAAAGGGTGTCTGTAAGTAGTGCATTTAAAATATCTGAACAGGCCTAGACATGACAGGAACCTGAAGAATCTGGGTACAGCATCGCACAGAAACAGCCCCAAGTCGTGCACATGTAAAAACAAAACCAGTCAATCTGAGTAACGGATGACTAAGACTACAGCTCTTCAGCTAGAAAAAAATGTTAATGTCTAAAGGAACAGCAGAATGAACAGACGACTAGTAAAAATTATTGTATAGTGTGATATGCTCTGTTGGGAACTATACTCTCTGTTGTCTTCTATGAGAAAAATAATCCACACACAGTTAACTGGCTCCCATGACTATAAATGCAACACTTTGGTCAGATAGACATGATCAGATATAACATTTTTCTTCTCCTCTCTGTCAGCAGCAAAAATACTCTGACATTGCTTTAAATGTTTCTTATAAGCATCACATATTCATGGACAAACGAGCAAAAAATAATCAATTTATACTAAGAATATACAGTATATAAAAATCCCTGCACTTATTTATAGTCTTACTTTTGCTATTTGTTTTTACAGACTCTTATTTGACTCTAGTTATGTGATGTCATTGTTATAATTCATCTAGCTGAATATCACTTTTTGCTGTCTCTGTAACTAATGGATGTCACCATTTAATATCCTGTCACATTACGTTCTTCACTGGTTCTCATGATGCCCTTGCTACCTCCTCATCTAAGGTAATCGACGTGGAAAATTATTATTATATGCATAGTATACACAGTTCTCACTTTGGTCATACAGGGACCAGATGGCTCATAGCAGCAAGCCCGGTACTCCGTAGTCCCACCACAAGACCCCCCGAGGAATGTGGCTGTAAGCCTTCTCCAAGTCCACAAAGCACAGGTAGACTGGATGGGCAAACTCCCACAACCCTTCCAGAAGCCTCGCAAGGGTAAAGAGCTGGTCCACTGTTCCAGGGCCAGGATGGAATCTGCATTGCTCCCCCTGTATCCGAGGTTCGACAATTAGTCAGAGCGTCCTTTCCAGCACCCTGGAGTAGACTTTACCCGGGAGGCATCTTTGCCCATGTGAACGTTTAAGTCCCTCAGAAGAACTATGGAGTCCCCAGCCGACACCCCATCCAGGACAGCCCCCAGAGACTCCGAGAGGGCCAGGTACTCCGTAAAGCTGTTTGTTGCATATGCACAAACAACAGTCAAAGACCTTCTCTTAGCGACCCGCAGTTGCATCAAGTGACCCTCTCATTCTCTAGGGAGAACCTCAACACAGCAGCACTCAACTTGGGGCTCATGAGTATCCCTACGTCCGCTTGGCACCTCTCACTAGGGTCGGGCGATAATACGGTAATCAGGTATCCTGCGGTATCTAAAAATAGCAATGGTATCAATTTCATTACCGTCATTAAAAAAATCTGGCGCACATATAGGCCTATAGGAGCCTAATATAATATTAAAAATAATTTATTTAATGCCTAAATAATGAGGGCTTGTCCAGCACCTATGTAGCCTATGTGTTGTTGAGTTTTCAGTTTAATACTATTACAATTTAACCCTTTGGGCCCGAGGCCTTTTTGGGGGTATTTTTCCTGCCTTTACTTTTAAGCTCATATCACAGTCATTATAAAGGCTACATTATGTTATATCTTGTTGCTTACAATAACGCCAACCACCCTCCCAGTCAATAACTAAAACAAATAAAAGTCCACATAACACACTGCTCCTACATGATTACTAATAAATCCACCTAAGGGAATCAAATGATTAATCACTTAAATTTTAATAACAAATGAGTACTTAGCAAAAACAGGAGTAGAAATATGCAAAAACGAATCTGATTCAGCCTATGTCACATACAGCCTCATTGGAAAAACCACCATACAGCAAAACATGAAGGTTTTTCTTTTTCTGTTCTTTTCTTGTTTTGTTTTTTTTTAGACTACGAAGATGCAATTGGTCTTATAAAGTACATGGGCTTAATGGGGGCATTACTGATCACACTTCAGTTAAATGCCAGAGAGCTGAGAAGAACACTTTGTAATAAAAGCCTGTTGTATGATTTCCTTATCACTGACTTGCATAATGTCCGCACCCTGTAATCTACCAAGCTACAAACATCCGCCGAACTGGTGCGTTACAGCTGCCTTATCATTACATCTGTTTTTTACTTGACTTATTAATCATTTATCTGATAGAGTATAATGCCCACCATCATAGCAACAGTTCCCAGCTATCGGTCATTTTATTATTATAAGCAGTATCGTATTTTTTACTAAAAACAACAGTCATTCCCGCTCAGTCGGCCTTTAATTTCAATCCAAGTGTTGTGTTATTCTGTGGTACTTTCTCTACTTTTCAGTGGTTAAAAAAAATAAATGGTAATTTTATTATTAAGAAGTGACCTACGCGACCGTCGTGCCCAACTTAACTTCCTCATATGAACAAGCTTGAACTTCCCTGTTAAATGAATTTTTTGGCCTAAAGGCATGTTGAAAGATTTAGCCTCCATCTTGTCAGGAGTAGCAGTGTTTGTCGAGACTGACACATACTCACGTTTTGAACAGCTTCTCCATGTCTCTGATCTGGTGTCGGGAGAACTCTTTGAACTCTGTGTAGGGGTTGAAGACCTTCATGCTGGGCTGGCAGGGCTCACCCAGCCCCTCGTTCAGCCCCTCTCTCCGCATCAGCAGAGCACCCAGCTCCGCGTCCGCGCTGGCCGTACTCGGTTTGTCTTCAGACCCATTCTGGTGTCCGGGGATGTCCACAGCAACAGGATCCTCGGCTCCTTCTTCAATCTGGATCCGACGGCTGAGCTTGATCGCGAGCTCGTCTGCCATTTTCAAACTGGGCGGCTAATAATGAAAAGATAACGTTATCCAGCTAACTCCACTAACGTTAGAGCAGGAGGCGTCAGCGCACTGACTTCTGACAGCCTTCTGTTCGGTCGCCCCCCTCCCGCCCACTTCTGGCAAGAGCCTAAGCAAATTAATCACAAATATTCTTGCTTCTGTATGTTTTTGTTTGTCCGTGTTGGGATCGAGCTCGAAGTTATAACAAATACCTCTACTTCAGGAAGTTGCATCTCAGCTCATTAGCTACGCAGTATTCTGTATGACTGTACCGTTGTCACCACGCCTTTTAAAGAGGCAGACAAGATAGTCCACAATCTGAATCCGTACATGTCACTGGGTGCATTTCATCAGGCTAACGTGTATCCTCCCTTTCCCCACTCGCTTCCTTTCCTCGCGTCCTAGTCCCACCCACGGGAGTTATGAGCGGAGGAGGCGACTGATGCTATTGTAATGAACCTTGTCTCAGACGCTGAGAATGTAGAGAGCCTGAGCACAGAATATTTACTATGCACCCGAATGAAAGGAGAAGGGAACCAGGAGTAATGGAAAATAATCTTTATTAATATAAATTCATTTAGCAGGACAATTCATTTAGCAGACTGCCCTGCACACAGGTATGGGATGCAGCCTGGGACCTATGGGTGCAGATCTGATGACAAGTTTGGGGGGGACACGAGTTGTAATTTTTTTAAGTGCATGCATGTAAAACATGCCCACAGAGGCTTGAGATTGCCAGCATATTTCACAATTTCATAGAGGGAGTACAAGGTCCACACGCACATCCGAACCACAAAAAAGGGGCAGGTGCTGAGCCGAAAAAAAACATAAAATGTAAAGAAGAAACAGCTCGCACACCGCAGGGCTCCAATGTTCAGTCCATTTATTTGCACCGTGTTTAGTAAATAGAAGTAACGTTTCAAGCAAGACGCTCTTCGTCAGACTTGAAATACACAGGGTGACGCCATCTTAAGTACATGTGATGTGGGTCACGTGATCCAAAGGGTTACAGGGAAAAGAACATAAGGCAAGCAAAAAAGGTATATATAATAAACCACAAAAAGTACAATACAAGATTGTAAAGTATTAAATAAATATTGAATAAAGTGCCCTGACACCTATGGGTAAATATTGAATAAAGTGCCCTGACACCTATGGGTAAATATTGAATAAAGTGCCCTGACACCTATGGGTGTCAGGGCACTTTATTCAATATTTATTTAATACTTTACAATCTTGTATTGTACTTTTTGTGGTTTATTATATATACCTTTTTTGCTCCGCTCATCTGCTTAAATATTCTATTTTTGACTAACCCTATTTAAGCAGATAACATAAGCACGTGCACAAGGGCACACACCCACACAAACAAACTGTGATGTGTGTGTACGCAAGAACACATACACATGATTAAAGTCACAATACCAGCAGCAGTATAACATCCAAATATTGAAATTTCATATCAAGGCAAGTACACCAAAGATTAAGTGTGAGTACACAATACTGTTGACACCAACATCTGTATCAACACAATAAATACAGAGGGGAGTGGCACTCAGTGGAACGTGCAGGCAGCCATCGGGCAAAAGTGCCGTCATCAAGCCCTAAAATAACACTAATGCTGCATCCGAATAGATGCAAAATGGGACACTAAAGTCCCAGAAAGTAAGAGGTACCAGTACATAGTGGAGACACGCAGATATCAAGGCAACAACTGACAGAGAATATAGAACAAGTTACAGGAAAGGACGGAGGTCCATTTCTTCATTCATACCCTTGGGTGACAAAAGCACTATTCGGACGGGATTAGTTTTACATGGGCACGTGGGGTAATGTCACTTTACCATAGGACGTCAGTAATATTAATGGCTGATTCGCACGGGATAAGAAATATCAGTAAAACTACCACAAGTGGGAGGGGTAAGTCCATTCACGCACCACCGTGCCCTCCTGCCATCATGAGCGTATGATAGGACTGTCAAAAGCACCATAAAATTGAGTTCGAATATTTTCGAATTAATTTTATAGAGTTCGAATAATATTAGAATGTATTATTATTATTTTTTTTATTTTTTATTTTTTACAAAAAAACCCCAAAAAAAATAACATGCTTATTGCTGACGCAATATGAACGTGACACTCGGATGAAAACACCCGTTCTGACCTCACTGAAGTGCCAGGTATGATCAACTTCTGTCTCGCTATCTGAGCAATGTTTGGATACTTCAGTGCGTAGTTTTCCACCACAAGACTGGATCCTGGCCGGCTCGTAGTGGTGTCTCATTCTGGTAACGTTTCATCTCTTCTTCAAAAAGGGTAGGCAGGGAGGCAGCAGGTGCACCACTCTCCCTGTATGACTCCCCGAACAGGTCACACATCAAGGACAGCACAGTGGGTGGTGTTGGTGCAGCAGGCTCCTCCGTCGGCGCCTCTCCCTCCCGCTGCGTCCCTCTCTGGCCCGGCTCATGTGCGAGCCATCTCCGCCCGAAAGGGATTTGCCGTGATATACAACATTATTGACAGTATTAATTAATTATTAATGATATTCGAATTATCAAATTTAGGTTCGAACTTATAAAAAAAATAAATATATTTGAATATATTTCTAACTTCGATTTTTTTTTTGACAGCCTTAACACACGTTTACTGCTGGTCTATTTGCAGGGGATTAGTATTACCTGAGGTAATTGTCCTGGACCCTTTTACAGAAGGTAAAAGTCGAGGTAATCTTTACTGACATCGTGCGGTAATGATTACTGACATGGCACATTCGGACGGGACTAAAATCTCTGGTAATTATTACTTTACCCCTCGTCCCTATGTAAAACTAATCCCGTCCGAATAGGGCTATAGTCTCTAAAGTGTAAATCCAGAACAGTTCACGTTTGAGGAGTAAGTTGTTGATCTCCAGACCATTGTTTACAAGCCGGTCTGGCTGCGCGTTCATGCAAGTTCATGTGAATCCCCCCCCCTCCTCTCAGAACCCTTGGCCCTCCCTCCCTATAAAAGGCTACAGCCAGTGAGCAATGGCAGGCGGTTATTTTCGAAATGAAATGGCAGAGAGCAGAACGTCCACCTGAAGACGACCAGGATCTGACATTACCTCTAAAGAAACAACGGTTGTTGGCAAAGAAGTTGTCGGATAAAGAAAGGGACAGAACTCGGATTAACATTGGCCTTGCATTTCCAAGGTGGAGAGCACTGCAAGAGCTAAAGGGGCTACAGTCTGACTCGAAGCTAGCTCTTCTCCTGGACAGGTACAACATAAAGTCAAATGTCTGTTTTAATTAGTGTTACAGTAACGTTAAGCACATGTCGCTATGTTGATTCAATTAAATTTAATGTTACAATCGTAGCATGGGTTAATGTCCAGAGCTTTGGTCCCAGCAATGGGTCAGACGTTTCGGTTGTGTTAGGTGTGTAGCCCGGCAGCCCAGCTAATTTGCAATTAGCATTGTAAAATGTAGCCCAGCGGGCAGTCTGGCGGCTGTGTTTAGCTATTCCCCTGCCTACTTCAATGATGATGGTCCCTGTAATAAATGTAACATATTTGCTGAAATGGAGGCGAGGCACAGCGACTAGAAGAGCTGGTAGAAGCGCTCCATAGCTGCAAGCTACTCCAGTAGCCGTAGTAGCTCTAGTGCTAGCTGTGGGAGCTAAAGCTAACATTCCTCTCTTCTCCAGGAGAAGAGAGCTCACGGGCTCACGGTTTAGAGTTGGAACGTTAGCATAGCAGCCGACTAGTGCAGGCTAACGTCCCCACGCCAGAGCTCGCCGGAGCTGAGAAGCAGGCTCCCGGAACATTAGCATAGCAGCCAGCTAACGCTAACGTCCCCACGCTTCTTGGCTCCGACTCACTGAGCCTGGCGGAGAAGCGTGAGCCCGGCTACCGGCTCAGTTGGAGCGTTAGAGTGGCAGCCGAGTAAGTGCTAATGCTAACAGGAAAGCAGGGAAATAGCTAAACACAGCAGAGACCGAGAGTGAAAGACATTGCTAACTGCTAAACTAAGTTGGCTGTTCAGGTTTTATTTCCTCGCCCCTGTGGTGAGTGAATCAGCCTACAGTGAAAGCGGGGGCTAACCGGTGCTTCCTCCTCAGGCTCCACTTCACTCAGCTACTAACACACCCAGTTAGCCTCCACTAGCTTCCCAGCTGGGGGGGGGTTGGAGAGCAGACTGCTTTGTTTTGCTCTACAGGCAGTGCACAACAGCGAACCTAGCGGTGAAACGATTTCGCTTATTGCCCCTTTAAGAGGTCTGGATGTTTTGCCAATATAAGCAAGACCACAGGAGCACTTCAGCATGTATATAACATTGTTAGTTTTACAAGAAATCACACCTTTGACAGAGAAGACTTTACCAGTACGTGGATGATGAAAAGTTTTAGTTTTGCGTGTAAAATTACACTGTTGACAGTTGCCACTTTTATAGTTGCCTGGTTCTACAGGACTTAGAAAAGAAACAGAAGTAGGTGGGGGACTGGGATTGTCTGCCCTCACCAACATGTTTCTGAGGTTGGGGGGTCTTTTAAAAACCACACGCGGAGGGTCTTCCAGGCGTCCTTTCAGATCAGGGTCAGTGGAAACAACACGCCAGTGTTTATGCACAATAAATGACATCTTTTTAGCGAGAGGAGAGTATTGGAAGGCACAGGTAATTCTAAGTCTGTTATGATTTGATCTTTCTACAACATTCCTACAGGCCACAGTGGCCATTTAAAATGTGTTGCCCGTCAGCTTTTCTTTCGAAGATCGTCAGGAAGTTTTGTGGCAGGTCACCTTTATAGGCGGTGGGCCGAAGGTCGCTATCTGCTTTTGTTTTTGAAATGATCGATCCTCAGCGATAGAGTAGCTGCTTTTTTAACATTAACTTAATATATTTTTTCTGAACACGTTTCCGTTTGTTGGCAGTCTCAATTCGATCATATTTTTATGAAAACTAAACTTATGTTTGATAAACTAATCAGGCAAACGCTATGGCGTACTATACCGCAAACCAATCAACAACAAGTTCCAGCGTCACCTGACTTGAAGTGTGCCAATGATATTTGCCCAAATAGGCAGTAAACACGGCTCAGAGGAGTTGACCAGAATTGACCGGAGTTAACCATAAACAGTATGTAGTCTGTGTCAA